CCCGCGCCCCGCCCCGCTCCCTCCCTTCCTTCCTTCCCTCCCTCCCTCTTTCCCCTCTCTCTCAAAATAAGTACATAAATAAATTTAAATGTTATTGTAGAAAGAAGCAGCAGATGATAAAGTCACACTTTCCCACACCATGTGGCTCTAAGCATCCATTCTCCGAATGACCCCCCTCCCGTAAAGGTAGGTGGGTATGAATATTTTCTAAAATTGGGATCGTGCTGTACCCTGGCGATTGGTGACAATAATAGGTGGTGGGCCTCTTTTGGTGTCAAATCCAGATTAGACCGCAGGAGTACAGGTCGGGGCTGTGGGCCTCTGCTAGCTAACCCGCTCCGTTCTCTGGTAAATTACGTAAGGGGAAGGAGCACCTCTTTGAAGGCCCATTTGCTTTAAAACAATGTGTTAATTATGTGTCACTTCAAGTATTTGATTACAAGGCCTAACCCGCTTACAGGAACACCTGAGGCCCTTGGTGTGCAGGGGTGAGTCGGGACTCTTGCCCAAAGTCTCCCGATTCCTCTAGAGTGGAACACATCGTGCCACCTGTTCCTGAGGGGCACGTTCCTGCTCTCGTCCTATATAGCAGTGACGGTCCACAGAAACGCAGAAACTCTCTTCGCTCACTGTGTGCACAACTATACTATGCAGTGCGGTTCCTGCATTTCGGTCTTTGGGTTGAGAGCCGTCTCAAGAGGTGGGATGGTTGGGCTGTATCACGGTTGCCCACAGGATAGGGACCTAGTTCAGGCGGGGTCGCAGCCATACCTGATGATGCACCCATCGCCCTGGACTCTGCCGCACCACCCTGCACGTACTAGCAACTCTGTGTCGAGGCCCCAGAGACAGTTCACACAGAAGAGCTGCGGATTCAAGGCAGCAGCTGGCCTGAGCTTCGTGCATGCAAATTACTCCCCATTAGAGACATCATCACATGTAGCAAATATAGCCACTTACAACTGGTTCCATTGTATGCTAATTGATATTTTGTCTACAAAGTTTGGTGGTATAGCCCAGCTGGTAATGGTCCAGGTTCACAAGATAGCCAGAGAAGCACAGATGACTTCCCCCGTGGCCATCGACACATTTCCGCAAAGAAATGTGTTGACTCAGCTCTTATGCTAATACCTGAAGTTACAAATGAGATACCGAAATTTCATGAGGCATGGAGGTGCTGGGAGCAAGAAGTTGGACCCAACTGGCTTCCATATGCCAAAGCTATACGTCATCCAGTGGCTGCCAAGGTGACCCTCTCTGCCTTCCCAAAACTTGCACGAGCTGCCTTATACTATGCATCAGAGATGAGTGCCGCTGTGAAGAATTACTGGCGAGGACATTTGGTCCTGGGTGTAATACCTGAAACGAGGCTCCCAGATGCGCTTCGCCGGAAGCTTAAGAAAACAGGGCATTCTTGCTGGTGTGGCTCAATGGTTAGAGCATCAGCCCGTGGACTAAAGGGCCTTGGGTTCGAGTCCTGGTCAGGGGCACATACCTGGGGTGCAGGTTTGATCCCTGGCCTCAGTTGGGGGGAATGCAGGAGGCAACCAATCGATGTATCTCTCTCAGATAGATGTTCCTCTCCCTCTCCCTCTCCCCCTCCCCCTCCCTC